GGACTCGATCCCGGGACTCCAGGATCATGACCTGAGCCGAAGGCAGTCGCTTAACCAACTGAGCCACCCAGGCGCCCTGAACATGATTTTAAAATGTTATTTTAATATTTTTAAAGTATCCCATCTTATGAATGCACTATCATGTAGCCAATTTAGTAATAACTGTATGACATTTCTGTTTCCAACTATAAATAATACTGTAATAGTAAAAAAGCTTATTATTAAAGGTAAAATTTTTGAAAGTCAAAATGTTGCTAGCTGTTTGAAAAACAAACAAACAAACAAAAAACCTCACAGAGGGATGCCTGGGTGGCTCAGTCGGTTAGGTGTCTGCCTTCAGCTCAGGTCATGATCCCAGGGTCCTGGGATCGAGTTCGGCATTGGACTCCTTGCTTGGCAGGGAGTCTGCTTCTCCCTCTGCTGCTCCTCCTGCTTGTGCTCTCTCTCACTATGTCAAATAACTAAATAAAATCTTTAAAAAAAAAAAACCCTCACAGATTTCTTTGACCAGAATCTAGGTACTTACAATTGGCTCTTACTTAACATTCAATGTGATGGTAATGTATTGGGTTTGTTTGAGAGAACTTACCCCAGGGCATTTGCACTTAGTGTTTCCCACATAGCTATCTGTTCGTAAGATCTACATCCTTACTTCATTCATATCATCTGAGAGACTTTCTTCCTTGGTTGCTTTTTCTAAATTAAATATCTCATCATTTTACTCTCATACCCTGCTTTAAAAAAAAAAAAAAAAATCTAACAGCACCTTAAATTTTTATATGTTTTTATATAGATATTTATATTTTAAAAATACATTTGTTTATTTTTCTCTCTTACCATAATTTAAGTTCCATGACAGCAGGGACATGTTTTATCCACTGTTGTTTTTCTAGAACAGTATCTAATAACTCATAGGAGATGCTTAAAAATATTGGTTGAATTAATTTGTTGAATGAATGATCATCTAGGATTTGTAATTTGGCACAAATTCTCAGAAGACAGTTACTAAGTCAGAGGGCATGAACATTTTAAAGGCTTTTGATACATACTCTAACTAGCCCTCTAAAAAAATTATGTATCAATTCATACTTTAAGGAATTTTTGTCTTTTTATATAGTGGAAGGAAAATATTGAAATAAAACCCACAAAATTTTAACCTTTGATTTCTAAAATGTTACCGTATTCTTTATAAAATAAGGAAGCTCAACTAAATTCTTAGGTATTGTTGGGGCATCTGGGTGGCTCAGTCAGTTAAGCGTTTGCCTTTGGCTCAGGTCATGATCCCAGGGTCTTGGGATTGAGTCCTGAATCAGGCTATCTGCTCAGTGGGGAGACTCCTTCTCCCTCTCCCCCTGCTCCTCCCCTTCCTTATGCTTTCTCTCACTCTCCCACTCTCTATCAAATAAATAAATAAAATCTTTAAAAAATAAATAAATAAATTCTTGGGTATTGTCCGGCTCTAAAATCTACCTCTTTCTCCAAATAATACTGAATATATACAAATGCTTTAATGTCATGTAATTGATGGTTTGATCACGGATTTTACTTTGTGTCCTATTCAGATTTCTCTTCAGATTATTATCTTGGAGGAATATATCATAAAATATTTAAAGTTTTATTCCCAAAAGAATATTCAAAGTTGAAAAAAACTTTTAAATTTGTTTTCTGAGGCTCAAGAGTTTATCCAATCCTTCTCCCCAAAATCCCTTTACTTATAGGTAGATTACAACTTGATAGTGTTCCATATGCTGATAGTAACTCTTGTTATTGTAGCTTCCTACACTGGAGTTGGCAGTTGTAATAACAGCCTTTCTCCTATTAGATCCTGAAAGGAAAGGTCGTTTTTTTTTTGTTTTGTTTTGTTTTTGTTTTTAATTTATTTATTAGAGAGAGAGAGCGCAAGAGGGGGAAGGGTTAGAGGGAGAAGCAGACTCCCCGCCGAGCAGGGAGCCCGATGTGGGACTCGATCCCGGGACTCTGGGATCATGACCTGAGCCGAAGGCAGTCGCTTAACCAACTGAGCCACCCAGGCGCCCCTGGAAAGGTCGTTTTTATTACAAAAAATTTTAGAGTATGAACACTTAAAAAAATTCCACTGGAAGAACAGTCAGCTACAAGTGGGCAAGATACAGATCATTTCAGCCCTTGGGACTTAGAATGAACCGTTCAAATCAGTAGGTAATATGCAGGAAATTAAAAAAAAAAAATTAGATCTGTTGGTGAGTATTTAAATTGGTATAAGGTATTTGAAGAGCAATTTTGGAATGTCTGTAAAAATTTTTGACCCAGCCATTTGGCTTCTTCTAGGAATTTTCATGCAGGTTATATACGGTTTTTAATGCTATATAACAAATCACCACAAATTTAGCTGTTTGAAACAATACATTTATTATCTCACAGTTACTATAGGTCAGAAGTCCAGGCAGAGTGTGGCTGAATTCTCTGCTCAGGGTCTCCCTGAGCTGAAATCCAGGTGTCACCAAGGCTGCAGCTCTCACCTGGAGCTTGGGGTCTTTTCTAAGCTTACCAGTTATTGGCAGCCCTTATGACCTTATGGTTAATGTTCATTGTTTTCCTGCTAGCTGTTGGCTAGGGACTGCCCTCAGCTTCCAGAGATTGCTTGCAGTTCTTTGCTCCCACAGGCAGTTCACAGTATCGATGTTTGCTTTCTTCCAGGCAGCCCAAATGCACCTCTCTGCCTTCCTCTTCCCTGATCAGCCAGCTGGGGAAAACCCTTTGCTTTTCAAAGGCTCACCTGATTAGGTTTGGGCCCACCTAGAAGAATCTCCCTTTTTTTGCCCTAACGATATATAATCATGGGAGGCTCAACATATTCACAAATTCCACCCACTGAAAGTGGGCATAGATTATACAATGCTGTAGGTCATTGCTGGTCATTTTAGAATTCTGCTTACCATTCTGTATACTTGCAAAAAGACAATAGGATATAGATGTATAAGGATGTATGATAGCAATTATAGTGTTAATTGTAATAGCAAAAAAAGAAAACAAAGAAAAAAGATAATTTAAATATCAAAAAGGGACTGCTTAAATAATACATTTAAAAAATGTATTAATACATTTTCAAAAATGGAATACTAGGCAGCTGTTGAAAGATCAAGGTGGGCCTAGATGTACTAATATGGAGAGATGTTCAAATACTTGGTTAGGTGACAGAAGCCATTTGCAGAACATGTATAATATGATCTCCTTTGTAAATTAAAAATATATAATGTGCAGAAAATTGAAAACAGTAATTACCTGTGGGGAGTTGGGTTAGCAGGACTTGTACTTTTAATTTTATATCTTCCTGTGGTACTGCTGCAGTTATCTTTTATCACCACCATGTACTCCTATTATAATAAATTTTTAAATTGGTAACTTCAAAATCACCTGAATGGACCCCAAGCATTTAAGAGGCTTTTTAAAGCACCCCAGAATAATTGTGCTGCATGATGCTGGTTTAGAACACCTGCTCCAGAGGCTTGGAAAGTATCTACTATTTGTCATCTGAGAACCACTTCATGAAATAGTTTAAAAATTGGAAATATTTTGCATTGTTTTTATAAGGCAAATATGGGGATATTACTCATTACACTTCCTTTTCTTTACCTAGGAAAATTAAATAATGCATATCAAGCAGTTGACAAAGGCCCTGGAACGATCAGTATTTAGCAGTAAATAAGTCATAAGAAAGCTGCCTATGGATGCCTCTGTTGTGCATTAAGGGTCAGGTTTTTTTAGGTAACATTTTTATTCAGTTCTTCCTCTGTTTTCTCAGAGTTTCTTTTTTGACTAGTAAAAATTGGTTCAGACTATTTTTAGAAGATGGAACAATAGGTTCTGGGAAACATTTTAAGGGTTTCATTTGCACAGAATTGCTTATCTTAGGTTTTTATTTGCTTTTCACATGCTTTAATTTGTTAAACCAGGTTTCTTTCTTTTTTTCTTCAGAGATACTCCTGTTTCATTCTAATGCTACATCTGAAATGTGAATAAATCTTGGAACAAGCACACAAATACAATTTCACATTTTATTCTTATGAGCAAAGAGCATGTGTGCTGCTTTGCATGGATGTTTTCACTGTTAAGCTAATCTCTCTTCAAGGGCCACCGTGGCTTTTAGAATCAGCACCTTACAATTACTGCTAAGTGATGCTTCATTCCAGATTGTGCAGCTGCAGTCTTGTGACTATTTCTAAGGGTGGCAGGTGGAGGTTGTTCTTTTTTTTACATAAATTCTTTTTTTAAAAAAAGATTTTTTTATTTATTCATTTGACAGAGAGAGAGCACAAGCAGGTAGAGTAGCAGGGAGAGGGAGAAGCAGGCTCCCCACTGAGCAAGGACCCCGATGTGGGGCTCAGTCCCAGGACCCCGGGATCATTACCCGAGCCGAAGGCAGTTGCTTAACGAACTGAGCCACCCAGGCGCCCCTTTTTAACATAAATTCTTAAATTCCTTTACATTACAGTTATTTTTAATATTCCTTTCAAACCCAGAGATAATATGATAGCAAAGAAAAATAGAACAGTTAACTTTTGACATATCATTTATCTTTGCCAAAACATTGCTTTACTGTTGTATACTTGGAAAGTAAACCTAGTACTTTTATGATTCCATCCCATAGCTCTGGGTCCAAATTTCTAAAGTAAATTAGTTGTTTCCATGAGCCATTTTTTGATGTTTAATTAAATAGCTTACTGACAGGTTCTGGAAGCTCCTGTAATTTTGCTAATGAAAACAGTATTGTTATGACAGGTTTATTTTTTTAAAAATAAGTATTGCTTGTCGTATTAATGCCTACAGTATTATTTGTAGTAGTAAGAGATTAGTGTGGTTAGATTGTGGTATATCCATAAAGTGAACTACTGTGTAGACATAAAAAATTAATTACAAAGCTCTTCATATAAAGATGTGGCATGATCTCCAAAATATGTTAAGTACAAAAAAAGTGTATATATGCTACCATTTAGGTAAAAAACAAAAGGATGTTTTGAAAAGAGAATAAATGTACATATCTGCATGTGTATGCATAGGGTATCTTTGTAAAGACCTCCAGAAAACTAGTAATACTGGTTGCCTGCAGGGGGTGGGTGGGAGGAGTAGGGGTTTGTAGACCTGTATAACTTTTTACAGCTTTTGTATTTTGAACCATGTAAATGTATTTTTTTTTTAATAATGAAAGCAAATGTAAATGAAGATAAGTATATAATCAGTGGCTAGACCAGGTCATGGTTTCTAGCAAATAGTGTTGACTCTCAAAATTACCTTTAAAGAATATTGTTGAAATTCTGTTTTGTTAATGTTGCATTACTGATACTGGTTAGAACTTGTATCATCAGTGCGATCCTGTGATTGAGGTACATTTTCCTTTGTTATGGAAATTATTGTTTTATGGGATAAAGCTTAAAATTTCTCATGAAAATAAAACACTGAGTCAGCTAATTTAACCTTTGGGAATTATATATTTGGCTATTTAGATTCTCCTATTAAATATTTAATTTGAAATAATGATTGGGAGGAGAATTGCATGGTATTAAGAGCATGAACAGGTTCAATTTTCAGTCTTGCCACTTACTAGCTTGTGACTTCAGGCAAGTAGGCCCAATTTCTTCAGCTTTTTAATGAAGATAGTAACAGTACTTATAGGGTTTCTGTGAAGATAAAATAAGGTAATTTCATTAGTTAACACATAGTACCTACTGTGTGCCAGACGTTATTCAAAGCATTTTACATATATGAATTCATTTAATCTTCACAGCATCCTTGTAATATAGGTATGTATTGTCATTATGCCCATTTTATAGATGAGGAAATCAAAGCACAGAGAGCTAAGCAATTTGTGCTGAGTATCACAGCTAGTAAGCCAAGCTTCAGATCCAGGCAGTCAGGTTCCAGACTCCATTCTCTTGATCACCATGCTGTGGGGAACACTTAACTCACTGATGGCACAGATACATTGTGAGCCTTCAACAAATTTCAATAATAAAGGTAATATAATAATAAATATTACTATACAAAGTTATATAATTCATCAGAGAAAATACAGATAAACTAAGTCAAGGAAGAATATAGATACCTTCAGTCTAACCCCTCAGAAAGTAAATATGTTGGTATTTATATACCTATTCATATACTTTAAGAAAATAAAAATTTTGTAAACTATTTTGGTCATGTGTTAATATAACATTAACTTCTTTTTTTTTTTTTTTAAGATTTTATTTATTTATTTGACAGAGAG